GCCAGTATAGGTCTACCCTTCATTTAGACCATCCTTGAAAAAACAGTTTCCGCTCAACACCATTCCAACTCATTCCACAATCACCTGTTTGAATAGTCAGGTTTCCACTCACTCCATAGCACTGGAACAGAACAGCGCTCATCAAAATTACTGCTGAACTGCTCCTGATTCTGGACATCTCAACACCCTCGCCATCCTCGACCAGAATGCAGCCTTCAATACCACTGTCACACCATCCTCTTCAATACACACTCTTTCATCGGCATCACCCACACTCTGTTGGCTTGTTTGGATCTTACCTATTTGACCACATTCAGTTCCTCCAACTCAAGTCCTTCAAAACCATTCTTTCCTCTGACACTTTAAGTGTGCCCAGTCTCTCCAAAAGTTGCAGCTTTTCTCTTCCCATCGAAAAAAAATAAAATAAAAAAGCTGTTTCATCTTCCCCCAGGTTAAGAGTCTGGGTGTCCTCCTTGACAGCACACTATCCTTCCAATCCCACATCAATGACATTCATCGGTTTGCCTTCGTCCATCTATGTAACATCAACCTCCTTCGCCCCACCCGGACCCTCAACACATCCATTAACTTGACATCATTGTCCACAGTTTTGTCACATTATGTCTGGATTATTGCGACTCTCTTCTTTTCGGCCTCCCTCAGAAATCCCTCCAAAAAATTCACCTGGTCCAAAGTTCCACTGCTCGCATCATAAGCTGAACTCTCACCATTCAACACATCACCCCAATCCTCCAACAACTTCACTGGATCTCAGTTCAGTTCCACATATGATTCAAAATGATCCTTTTTGCATTCAGTGCTATACACAAACTTGCCCCTGCATAACTGCCGGATTTCTTCATGTCTTCCCTCCCACACCTTAAGATCCTCTTCCTTCATTCCCTTATCTGTCCACTCTGGCCGTCTCACCACCATGGGGAGCAGAGTAGTCAACCACTCTGCTCCCCGGATTCTGGAAGTCATGACGAACCCAACTCGGAAGCAAGGATTCATCCACCCACTTCCAATCGCAACTAAAAACAGGCCTCTTTAAAACTGCGCATGAACAGTGCCATTTCCTCTGCCTATTCCAGTTGTCAATTTATTTCTTGAATTGCATTTCTTATTTTCATTTTATTTAATGTAATGTAATAATTTGTACGTTTCTCTGAGTGTCAAGAAAGGCTTGGCTCAATGGAAAATACGCAGCGGATCCATGGGCTGAAGGTGGCTTGTACCGTAATTTCCGGACTATAAGCTGCGACTTTTGTGACACGCTTTCAACTCTGCGGCTTATGTAATGAAGCGGCCTATACAAAGATTTTTCTAACGGCCACCTGTGTACAGTATTTCTTTGTAAATATCTCATGTTACAATATGGACACATGCGGCTTATAGACAGGTGCGGCTTATGTGTGTACAAAATGTTTTTTCCTTTAAAAATGTAGTGGGTGCGGTTTATAATCAGGTGCGCTCTCTTGTCCGGAAATTATGATACATTTTGAAAGAAAGGAGAATGCTATCACGTGTTTATCTTTCTGAAAGCTGATGCTTAAACAGTAGTTTATTATTGTGTTTATCTACACGTACATCTGCATGTTATACTCAACAAGGTCAATAAATATTGTTGGGGTGGTCGGAAGAATAAGGAGCATAAACAGAACGAAGGGCTCTCTAACATAGCCAGTTAAAATGGGCGATGCTCATATTTGCGTAAGCAATCAAGAAAAACAAGACAGCAAGACCAGAATGGAAAATAACTCTAGTTTCACTCGCATCTGTGCCACAGAGGTGTTTGCTTCATCCTTCCGCTCTTTCAAACAAGTCTATTTTAAGGGTGGGTTTTGTCTTTTTATAGATGAACAGACAGCAGTGTCAAAGAAATGTTCTCCCTTAATAACATCGGCGACCGCAAATGTTCTTCAAATGGGACAGCGGGCGGAAGAGTCCCTTTCACAAAGGAAAGCAAGAAAGTGTTGACAACAGGGTATGCGTGTGAAAGTCTGTGGGTGTCCTCTCAAGCTCAGCCTCGAACGTGGCCTCATCGTTAGTTGTTTCCTTAATAGCTGACACACCACAACTCCGTACAGCAAGAAGCATAAACTGAGGCAGGATTTCCTCGTTCTTTTGTTGCTGTATTGAAAACATGATTGCATTTGCGATAACCTGCTAACACTTAAGCTTAATGCAGCCTTTATTGTGAAAGTTTTTCCATTATGACTTTTGTAGCTTTAACCTTAAAAGGACATGGAGATGCTATTTGTATTTGATATTTTATCCCTGAATGTAATAAGTTATTTTAAACGACTAGCACATCTCAAACTACAATACCACCAAATTGCTTGTTGTTCACAGACTCCTTGGCTTTAACACTAGAGAGCTAATTATGCTTTATTGGCCCTGCCTGTGTGGTCTGCACTGCACTTGTGGTTGACTTGGCAGCAAAAACAAGATCTTTTAATTAGACTTGTATTTATGCTCAGCAAAATGATTGGGGATGCATAATGGGGACTGATAAGAGTTGCTTCTTTGAGGCAGTACGGTATATAAAATGAATATACTAAATATGGCCACAGTTTGTCTGCCTTGAACTGGCCAAATTACCCACTATGTACTTGTAAATCAAAGCAATCAGGGATCTCCAAATAGGGCTCTCCTCTGCCTTTCTCTCAGAGCCCTGTCCAAAATGTGTCTTATCTCCTGTGGGCATAAATACATCTGCTGATAATTCTAGACACCACATCTTATTCACAGCTGTATACTTATAACAAAGTGCATGATACCCGAGCAACACTAGAGCCATTAGATGCTGATCAATGAAAACATATTGCGGTCTAAGACTGAGCTGCAAGTGCAATATTGCAGGTTGGAATTGCAAAATCTACTTGGGAAAACATTTAAGGGTCATGGGGTGAGTTCGAGCCGATCAGAGTTGACTTTGAGATGGGATGGTTCCCTGTCAATAGTTTATCATTATTTATTTATATATATATATATATTCGAGCTGTCAGTTTAGCGCGTTTTTATTGGCATTAATTTAAATGAATTTTAACGGGATTAAATTTTTTCTCGCGAGATTAACGCGGCACACGTCACAGCGGATGTTACGTTGCTCTATATATAAACCAGAAACAAAACAACAAGCGCGTTGCACAGGTCCACGCACGCGCGAGACACCGAAAATGGATACTTTAAGAGTTTATGAATGGAAAGTTTACTTTTAAAAAATTGCCAGATTGTTCCACTGACAAGACCAAAGTTACCTGTATGTTTTGCAATCGTAAACTGAGCTATCATCAAAGCACGTCGAGTCTGAAATACCACCTAATGGCCAAGCACACAGCTGACGTGAGTCCTCCGCCCCCTCGTCTCAGACAGACAGCTGTGGATTATTTCAAAGTGAAGAAAATGGATGACATGACGAAGAACAAATTTGCTGAAGCCATAGCTAAATGTATGGCTTCTGCATGCAAGCCTGTCAACATTGTCCACAGCTGGACTCAAGCTGAAATCATTCGCATTGCATCTAACGACTCCACTACGGATTGCCAGCGAGAGCCTCCATTACAAGCTGTGTACAGAGATTGTACGTAGTGGAGAAGGCTAAGGTACACCAAGCAGGAGAAGACACTGTTTCGGGAGAGAAATAAGAGACTAGGTTGATGAGCCTCTGGTGAATAAAGAGCAGGTAGCCTGT